GCAGCTTCCGGAAGCCGAATGATGCAGCCCCCGGCCCCGCACCTCGGCTGGAGCCCCGGAGCAGGGCCAAGCCATGTGGTGTGGTCCCCCTGACCCAGCGCCCCGGCTGGAGCGCCGGAGTGGGACTGATCCACGTGGTGCACCCCCCCCCCAACCCAGCACTCTGGCTGGAGCAGGACTGAGCTGCATGGTGCCCTCCCCCAACCCAGCGACCCGGCTGGAGTGCCAGAGTGGGGCCGAGCCGGGTTGTGCAGTCTCCCCCAATCCAGCGCCCCGGCTGGAGAGCCGGAGCGGGGCAAACTCCAGCCCCGCTCCCTCTAGGGAGCTCGGAGGCCGGCTTAAAATGGTGGGTAGGCTGGATCTGGCCCATGCGCCATAGTTTGCCTGCCCCTTGTCTACATTCTTCATAAAGAGCCTTTCTTTCTGGGGAACACTCCCTGCATTCCCATATCAGGTGATCAACTGTTTCTTTAACCTTACGTATGTTACAAAGCCCATCTTTGTGTCTATTCAATAAACGTAAACTATTATTCAAACCACAGTGACCAGTTAACAGTCTAAATATGAGGACATCACTGATCCTTTCATAACTTTGCAGTAGCACGTTATCGTCTACGCTGGGGCATACTTCATAGACTCTTTCTCTTTTTACTTGGTCCACAATTCTCACCATTCCTCTTTAAACTAAACTTTTCATTTCCTGCTTACTTTAAGGAATCTTTACATCAATGTCGCCGTTTTTTAAACAATTTTTTGCTTCTTTATGTGCCGTTTCACTGCCAGGTATCCCTGCATGTGCTGGAATCCATACTAGTGCTGTGTCCATACCTGACTATACTAACTCAGGTGTCTAAAACAATATTTCATGTATTAGGTCACTCTTGCTTCTTGAGGTATCCCTTTGAACTGTCAGTATAGCTGATAATTAATCTGAAAAGAGAACAGCTGTGGTAGGCCAGATGTCCATATCCAGTTTGTTGCTAGCATTATTCCCACCAAATCAGCTCTCATTGGGTATGTCTACACAGCAACTAGACACCCGCAATTGGCCTGCGCCAGCAGACTTGGGCTTGTGGGGCTGTTTCACTGCTGTGTAGACATACTCATAATGGCTATAAAATTAGATGTTCTTTTAGATTTCTCAGCTCCAGTTTTAGACATGCAAAAGGCTGCTTCCACTCTACCTATTTTTTCATCTTTTGATCCATTGGCATGCATTTGGCAATGGTGACTCCATTTATCATAAACTCAAATGTTATCTGTCTCTTTCTTCTCATTTATTTTATTATATGATTCTAAATCCACAGCCAGAGAGATGGTTTTCCAGGTATAATGTACCTTTCCATAACTATAGATTTTAATCTCTTCTAATCTTTTCTTTTTTACTTAACTCTTTTCTCACATTTTAACCCTGTGAGCATGAGCGAGTTTATTGTGTCGGGCTACATTTCATCCACTTAGTTCCCAACATTCTTGATATATTTGTCCAGTATTCTTATTTGTCTGTTTCCCCTACTTTAGCCCAAAATGTCAGATCTAACACTTTCATCTCTATATTTTGAGGGAAGAGGCAGAATGTATGCATTCCTCTTCTTCCACCTCATTCCCCGCTGGTTGGGTGAGAGGGGTGCCTTGCCCTGCCCCTCTGTAAGTATCCTGGCCCCAGGCCCTTAAAGAAACAGTAACAGATTTCTCCTGAACACTAATTTCCAGGACTGCTTCCTCTCCACTAATACCTCTTATTTCCTAGGCTTTTGCATACATCAAAACCTCCACAAATCTGGAAGGGTTATGCCAACTGAGTGGGTGGGCTGATGGCTAGGCACCACGACCCTTATGGGGGCAAATTACTTTATCACACTGACAATCATTTTTCTGTTGAATACCCATTCTGTTCTGTTTAATGATACACTCTTAGTAGATTGTATTCCAGTTGTTATTTTGTGATATTTTAAATAATTCCCCAAAGTAATGATCATTTATTCCCCAGTTCTTTTCTCCATTAATGAACCATGACTCTCATAAAGCAATCATTTGTCAGGTATTGAGCATTAACAAATGCTGTATTTTTGCTTATATGTGGAATTAATCCCACAAAATGACTTTACCTCAGAATTTATTTTGTTCTGCCATGTCATGGTCCTTCAGCTTTTGCTTTACTGTACTCAGGGCTGGTTCTAGGGGTGAGCAAGCAGGGCAGTTGTCCATGGCACCAATTTCCAGGGGATAGTGAACTGCTCTGCTTTTCACCCCTCTCTTTGCTACGCTGCTCAGGGAGCTGAGGCACCAAAAACATTTTCTGGCCTGGCCTGCAAAACATCTTGGGCTGCTTCTGACTGTACTGCAATGGTTTTTGTTTGGATTGTTACTTATTACTTTATTGCCTCTTCATGGCTCAGCAAGGTACATGCTCTGCATGGTTGTGTGCTGTATAGTAATCTCAAACACAACTGTTTATCAGTGCACTGGGTGACATTTTCAAGTCAATAAACAATGCCAGCAAACATTGTACTTGGATAGTACCTTATATCGAGCAGCTCAAAGCAGTTTATAAACAATAGTGAATTGTATTCTCACAACACTACAATAATGTAGAGAGGCATTATTATCCCCATGTTACAGATAGAAAACTGAGCACAGAATGATTCAGTATCACAGGGGTCTTACCAGAGCCTGTAGGTACCTGGGATGGGCTGTGAGCTCTGCCAGATTTCCTGGAAGTTTAGGTATTGTAAAAACAAGTGTGAAAGCTTAGAAAGGTTTTATTGTTCTTTAAATGTTTTTATTAAACAATGTGAATGTTGGGTATTTATATCTTTATTGTCACAATTTGCATTTACAGTGTAATGTGTGAGGGTGATTGGAATTGCATGCGCTGCATGTGACTGTAAGAGAATGGCTTAGTTTAGAAAAATTGTTTGCTGCACATAAGAAAGCAAGGAATTTATTATGCCATATCTAAAGCGAGGGTCTCGGTAATAATAGCTGCCTGGCATTAGCTTTAATTGATGTGACAGATGCTTTTGGTATTTCCTAGCTTTTTTCCATTAGGAGAATATATGCATATTTCTCATTTTATCCATCTCCACCAGTCTGAGCTCAAATTCCATCCCCTATAAATATAACTCAATGTGAGTTTCTTGCAGTAATCTGCAAATGAGAATACCAAGTCACTACTTTAAAAGAAAGGACTCCATTTAACAGCTCGATTGCTTCCCCCTCAAAACAATGGTATTTTCCAGATGTTCAGACAGAGTAATGTTTAGCAGAATACATTGATTTTCAGAGCTGCTGAGCACTTGCAGCTCCCACTGACTTCAGCAGGAATTGTGGGTATTCAGTGCCTCTGAAAATGAAGCCCACGGTAAATGTGCATAATTCAGCTCATGTCAAGGCAGCTTCTGGGGCTTGGCTCATAATTTACATCTGTCTAGCATTTACATTTTTGTAATCTAATTGCCACAACAGCAAGTGACAGGTATTTGCTATCAGAGAGAGTGCGTGGTGACACAAAGATCGATCTAATGGACTGTGTAGTTGTGCAAATTCACTGGCAATTTCACTTCCGAAGAGTTTGTGGAAATGGTTTCTGATTTGGGTTAACACCCTTTGTATATTAATTTGAGATTTGTGTCAAAGAAACCAACAACTCAGGGCAAACGCTCAGCTGACACCAATTGGCGCTGCCTTATGTCAGGTCTCAAAACCATGTATTAACTTAGGTTTACCTGAAACTCAGGCTCACCTAAGGGTTTCTAATGGGGAGTCATTAGATTTGGATTCTATTCCCAGCTCTGTATTCCTTTAAGGAATTTCTTACCCATTTTCCTGTAGGAGGACACAATCTGGTCCAGAATTCACCTACCTTTGTGCCTGTTCTGATACACAGAACAAGAGCATTACTCCACTAACAATCCCACTGAAATCAGTGGGGACCACTCACATGCTAATCAACATGAATAAGGATTTCAGGATCTGGCCCTAACAGAATAGAGGTATAGTAAAGATTATAAGAAAAGGAGTACTTGTGGCATCTTAGAGACTAACAAATGTGTTTGAGCATAAGCTTTCGTGAGCTACAGCTCACTGCATCTGATGAAGTGAGCTGTAGCTCACGAAAGCTTATGCTCAAATACATTTGTTAGTCTCTAAGGTGCCACAAGTACTCCTTTTCTTTTTGCGGATACAGACTAACACGGCTGCTACTCTGAAACCTGTCAGTAAAGATTAATTAATTAGAACCTGACTGTACAACTCTTACCACCCTGAGGAACATTTACTTGCACAAGTAGTCCCACCAACTTCAGTGAGACTGCTGGTGCAAGTGCTCCACAAGAGAAGTAGTGGTTGTACAATCTGGCCTTTAATGTGTGTAGATTTCTTAGAGATCATCAGATGGAAGGCACTCTAGAAGTGCAGAGGTTATGTGTACAACAGAGCATTATGATTTTCACTTCGCTTGGTGCTTGCAAACAAATGCTTACTATAGGACAGGTCGGGAAAGGAACTAGCAAGTCATTTATGAATGTGAATTTCCTCTTTCATCAAGCTAGAGAAATGACCAGTACATGCTTACTTGTTTTATTTGGGTGACTGACTGTCTTAGTATTCCTGTGCTACATGGGAAAAAGCTAAGATTTCAAATGAATGCAGATGGTGGAATTTTCCTTTCTAAACAAGCCACACCAAACATTTATGGGTTTTACATGCTTACGTTTTAACTTTTGCTGATGAAGTGTATCCACTGTGCTGCACCAAGAGGAGCTTAGTACAAGTAGATGGCTTAAAGTTAGTAGAGTTTGGGTACAGCATTTGCATAGTTTTCTCAAATGCCAGTGTCTCCACACTGTCTGCGCAAGTAGCTTTTAGAGACCACTTGATAGTATAGTGAGGCCCAGTGTTAGTTGTCCAAAAGGTATTACTTATGTTTGAACGTGAACCTCAATGGCTCTATTTTTTTATTTATTCGTTCTCAGTGAATTATTTTTACTTTCGTCTCCAAACTGATTGATGTGGCGTGTGCCTGGTGAGGATGGAGAGACTTGTAATTTCTGGGAAGTTGTGCTCTCTGGATCATTTTCTGAACAAGGGGACCAACAAAGGCAGGTAAATGAATAGCTGCTGCTTTATATTTCAGCACACACAAGGGGCGAGCAACTAGATGTTTAGTACTTTGTGTACCTAAAAGGGAATGTCTGGGAGTAAGTATTATAAGGTGCTGGGATGATAAACAGTATGTGATTGGGAGCCAGACCCAACCATCCTATACACTAGGTAGCTCTACTCAGTTCTCTGCGCAGGCAAAATAAAGCAATCACACTGTGCAATGTATGCAAAAAACAATATAGCTGGGAAAGCTGTTACCATGGCAGCAAGAGATGAGAAATCATAGATGTTACTTAGTGCACAATTGCAGGCCTCAGATTCTAACTCTAATGCTCGCTGAGGGGCAGATTATGGAGCACTTACTCTTGCTGGTGAGCAGTACAACCCAAGTTGTCCCACTGAGATCCAGGAACTACTTTGTCTGAGTGGTGAGCATGCGAGCGAGAGCTTTGGAGCTATTCAGGGGTAGACCACGACCTATCCTGGTGAGAGTGAGCCAGGGGGCCGTTACAACAGCAGTTCCTGTGAACAGGGCCTATCAGTCCTTACTCTCTGGGAGGCAGGGCCATGGCCCACACTGCTGTCCACGCAAGGCCAGCAGTGAGGCTCATGCATCAGCCAGAGCAAGCTGTATTTTCTTCAGCATGGTGGGGTGCTCAATAGGCAGCCTTGGGCACAATGAGTAGTAGGTCTGCACGCTGCTCTCTACCTCAGAGTCTGTGCAAATGGCACAACTGAGCCTTCTGTGGTGTGAGTTGTATGTTTGAGTCTATTTTCCTACTCTCCACAGATAATTATTCTGCATTTGGAGGCTGCAGTTGGCATATACACTAGGCATATAAAAGAAGTATTTGTGTATACTGTAGATGCCAATCTGAAGGTTGAAATGCGGGAGTGGATATTTTATAATAATTAATACACTCAGCACTTACTTTATGTTTCCACCTGTAGAGCTCAAAACACTTTACAAAGGTTTACAGAAGTGGAAACTTTTTACATGCAGAGAAACTGAGGCCAAGTACTTGCCCAAAGTTATAAAGCAAGTTAATTTCACATCTGGGAACAGACCTCAGGTCTTCCAGTCAAGCTCCTTCTGTTTGAAAACTAGTCTCTGCGATAAATATTTTTGTTAACTATAGGTAATAAGAGAGAGGAATCAGTTGTAAAATTTGGTTCTGGATCTGCACCTTTTCAAAAGTTGGGGATTGGGGTTGAGTAGTGTTCGTGCTGGCCCATTTCTATCAGCAATATACGTATAAACTATCAGGAAACAGAGTACTCTTACAACCTCTTCTCCACTGCCAATAACATTGCTAGGCCAGACTCCTTGCTGCATTGAGTTTTGGAGAGCAGCAGACGAGGGAGGGCCCATCACGGAGTTGGTTGTAGCTCCCTAATTTTTTGTCCTGCCTAAGAGCTGCCCTCACCTGCATCAGCAGGCAATTGCCTAGAGGGACTCCCTGCCACCTGAGGACAGCTAGAGTGCAGCATACTCTGGCCAGACTGCCTCCTTTTGTCTTCTATGAGGGATTGCAGATTCTCCTGCCTTGTGTTGCCAAATAATGCTACAAGGGTAGAATGGGGACAGAACCTGTCCTAGGGTCTCCTATATCATTTAAATGTATGTAGATTTCCTGTTGATCTGTGATTTTCCACCCATTGTGTGAAGGGCTCTATGTTAAATGAAAGTCTTTTTTGACAACATCTCTGAATAAGAATAATGCTTTATATATAATGGTTTGAACTGAATTCCTTCTGAACATTTTCTCTCTTTACTCTAAAGGGAGTAAATCTGTTTTCCAGTGACTAGCAGCCTGATCTTTCTCCATGGCAAAACTCCCACTGACATCAGTTGAGCTGGATCTACCATGATGAAGTAACATACCCTTCTGGAATCTGGGCATTTGGTTTTGGACTCCTCTCCTTAGAGCAAGCTGGATCCAACAGTCCTTTGCATGCAGAATATCCATTAACTTTGGGCTAGCTTCACAAAGAAACTTAGGTGTTGCAATGCTCAGCCTAACTTACGGTGCCTAGAAAATCACTGGGATTCACAATGCCTGTGTTAGGCACCTAGGTTCCCTGTACTATGATTGGGGAGAGATAAGCCAGCACACTAGGCAGCTCCTCACCTAAGCTAGCCAATGGGAGATGCCAAGGAGAGGGGCCTGTCCTAAACCCTGTCCCTCCCAGGAAGTTTGATTCCGCTCTCAGCTTGGGATTCTCAGCTGCAAACCTTCTCTTGGTGTTAAGTGCCTATGCCATTTTATCAGGAGGAGGAACAACTTCAACAGGAGAGATTGAGGGAACACCACATCAGAATATTCCATAGATCAGTCATTAGGGCACTCACCCGAGAGGTGGCTGGTCCCTTTTCAAATACTTTTAGGTATAGAGGGGACTTAAATTGGGGTGGGGGGGGGCTCTCCTAGGTGAGTATCCTAATCACTGGGCTAAAAGTTATGAGGGAGATTCCCCCAGCTGCCTTGAGTTTGCTCACCTATAGGGACCTGATCCAGCAGGCTCTGAGCACACTTACCTGCTTGGACCCAGAGAAGAGGTAGGTGGAGGTATGTATATTTTCTCTCGTTCATGCATTATACTGGACTATAGGTGTCCAGATGCCTGGCATAGGGCTGCAGCATGCCGAGGCAAAAACATAGGCACCTTGGGAACTATTACGTTCAGCACCAAATGAGTTTAAGCACCTATGGGGTTTGGTGGCAGCTGAACAGGTGGTTTTGTGAATCCCAGTGGGGCCTGATTCTGGGATTTAGGTGCCTAAAGTGGCAATTCGGCAACTAAGCCCTCTTGTGAATCTAGCCCCTGGTGGAGGTTCCATCCACAGACCTTTCGTTGGTGGCATTGCCATTAATGGTAATGGGTAGGCCCTACCAAATTCCTGGTCCATTTTGGTCAATGTCACATTTTCAGATGTTTACATTTGAAATTTCACAGTGTTGTAACCATGGTGGAGTCCTGACCCAAAAGGGGACCATGGGGAGTCATGAAGCTGTTTTAGAGGGGTTACAGGATTGCCACCCTCATAGCCACCTTCCTGCAGCTGGAGGTACGTCTGAACTCCCTCCAAGAGCGTCCGTGCAGGGGAAGAGGAAGTCCCATCTCTCCCCAGCCTGGCTAGGACTAGCACCTCTGTCCTGCCCCTTCTCTGAGGCCCCACCCCTGCTTTCTCCATCCCCCATCCCCTCCATCGCTCGCTCTTCCCCACCCTCACTCACTTTCACCAGGCTGGGGCAGGGGGTTGGGGTGCAGGAGGGGGTGTGGGCTCTGAGCTGGGGGGTTGGGGCAGAGACATTTGGAGTGTGGGAGGGGGCTCCAGGATGAGCCTGGTGCAGGGGGTTGGGGTATGGAAGGGGTTCAGGGTGCGGGCTCTGGAAGGGAGTTTGGGTGCAGGAGGGGGCTCAGGGCTGGGGTAGGGAGTTGGGGTGCAGGAAGGGGTGAGTGGTACAGGTTCCAGCCAGGTGGTGCTTACCTCATAGGTGGCTCCCAAAAGGAACTAGCATGTATGGCTCAGGGTTGGCCAGGTGGCTCTGTGTGATACCCCTGCCTGCAGGCACCACCCCCGCAGCTCCCATTGGCCATGGGTCCCAGCCAATGGAAGCTGCAGAGCTGGAGCTGGGGTGGGAGCAGTGCGCAGAGACCTGCTGCCCGCCCCTGCACCTAGCCAGACATGCTGGTCGCTTCCCGGGAGCCGTGCGGAGCCAGGGCAAATAGGGAGCCTGCCCTAGCCCCACTGCGCAGCCAACCGGACTTTTAGCAGCCTATTAAAATCTCCCGGATTGGTTTCAGTAACCACCAGGAGATCAGTTCCAATTCTGGGAGACTCCTGGCCAATTCGGGAGTGTTGGCAACCAAGTGAGACAGCTATGATGCCAACCTTAGCCATGAGGGTGCACCTAGTGGTGAGTGGACCCAGTTACAGATTTCAGGACTAATAAGAAATAAATATAAACTTTCCAAATTAACATGTGAGTCTTTTTTCAATGTTAATAAGATCATTATAATAAGTTGTTAGGGGAGTAAAATTGCTAAAATGGTGTATCCAGAGAAGAAATATAAGACAAAGTTTGACAAGGGGGCCTGAGTTGTAAATATTCCCACATGACATATTTGTTAAGAAGCCAAAAATGCATTGGAAGCTGTTAAAGGCTAGTAAACTAATTGCTTTAAAAACATCTGAGAGAGACAGATTAAACACTTATCTTGACAAAAGATAGATACTGGACTATAACAATATTACCCACATGGTAGGATTTCAATAAGCATCTGTTTGTGGAAGCCATTATTTATAAAGCATTTTTGCTAATTGAAAGGCTGTTATTAACAGAAGGACACAGCAGGTAAGAGCAAATGTAAGTATTTTCAGTGACAGGGCAATAAAGTCAAAATGCTTGCAAATAAAATTAAACTGTTGAAAGATCAGTTTAATGCAAATGAATTCTAGGTTAGCAATGATAAATAAACTGTGATTTTTATGACATTGTTTATTTGCCATCATTGAGAATTTATTTTGGAATGATAATATAAACATGGACAGTTCCAACAGTACTGGTATTGAAATCATAATTCCTGTTGATACAGAGCAAAATCCTGCCAGAAATTTAAATGAAGAGCGAGTCACAATGCATTTGGATTGCCATAAACCCTCTTGCAGAGTACAGAAATTGTGTTCCAAAAGAACAACCCTGACCCCATGCTGCTTTAAAATAAACCACAAAAAACTGAATCCATTTTGCTCATCCCAGCAGACTGGTAGTTTAAAAGGTAAGGAGCATTTCTCACTGTGAAGAAAACAGTGGTGAACATTTGCAAGGAGAAATGTGTATTCTGCAGTTGTCAATTCTGAGCCTACGCTGTCTTGCCAGAAAGCTGGAATTACTTTTGTGACGTTGGCTGTCTCATAACATAATGTCATACACCATGAAATAGTTTCCATCCAACTTTAATAGATAATATATTGTAATTAATTACCAGCCATTAGTTGGCTCTTTACCTCTCTGATGCTGTTTGCAAACATTAAGTGAAGAATCCTCACAACAGCCATGTGAATTAGGTAAGAAACATCACCCCAATTTTTAAGATGGAGAAGGTAAGATACAGAGGGTCACATGGTTAAACGGGTGCCATGTCTTCTGGTCAATTCAGGGGGAAGGGGCTAAATGACTTTCCCAGTTCTGAGTTCCTCTTTTCCCAAGCTCAGTGCATCAACAAGGAAGGCACAGCTGACTTTAAATGACCTTTGCACCTCCCCTGAGGATGTTTGGGCATCAATTTTAGCTCCCTGTAAGTTAGAGCAGTCCCAGGCTCTCGACACACCCTCCCCACCTGCTGGGATGAGCAAACTGTTTATGTTTCTCCAGATCGAACACTATGGTGGCAGTACTAGGAGACTTGCTCACCCCATTCACCCTGATGAGCTCCCCACAAACGGAATAGCCCAGCAGGGAGTTGGGTTTCCATAATGAGCCCCCAGAACAGTACAGGTTTCAGAGTAGCAGCCGTGTTCGTCTGTATCTGCAAAAAGAAAAGGAGTACTTGTGGCACCTTAGAGACTAACCAATTTATTTGAGCATAAGCTTTCATGAGCAGTACAGTGGCTCAGCAGCTTCCCCTGCCTGACTTCACACACATTCCTGCTCTCCTCTCATGGGTATAGAGGTGCCGACAGAGCTAAGGACATGAGCTGCCTGTCATGGAACGGAGCAGCGCTATCTTTTTGAGCCACTGAGAACCAAGCTGGGTAGGACAGAGCGGATGGAGGCAGTTACCAGACTGAGTGGAAGCAGAGAGGGGAGCAGGTGGAGGTAGGGCTAGGCTTCTACGGCAGTAGCCAGTGTGACATTGTATGTACTATTTCTTTAAATCATGACATAGTAGGAAGCCAGATGGGAGGGACTGGAGAAGGTTTTAGTCAGAAACTTTCCAGGGAAGCAGACAAGTTTTATGGATAATACTGCTTCCTTTACGCTGATGAAATTCCTTGTTCAGTATTAGAAGATAGCAACTGAGAGGGAGGATTTGGGAGATGTTAGTAGACACAGGAAAGTGGAAGAAGGGCTGGTGGGGGTGCAAGAACTAGAGAAGGGACAAGCAGAAGCAAAGTGAGTCATTTGTTTATTTTTAAAGTGAACTTAGTGCTTGAGAGAGATTCTGGCCTGACAGCCCTGGAGACTGAAGTTGTTGATTTGTCCACAGGAGAAAGAGAGAGTCTACGGCATGACTAGCAGTGATACAAACTTTCCTGTTTAGCGAGATGCCTCATCCTTTTCTGAAAGGTAAGAAGATACTTCAGGCATTACGTCCATTCAGTCCTTGGACCCTTTACTGGCTCTGTAAACTGGAGCCAGCTGTACTAGAAGGTTCTGCAGTATGGCCATCTATCCATGGGGAAATGGTCTGAGAGTAATTCATCGCAAAGATCACCAAGCAGCTGTCAAATTGTATGGCTTTTGTCCACTACACCAAACTGTGCTGAATTTGAAACATGGAGAGGGAAGAGCTGGGTAAAGAAAGTGAGCTAGAAAGGGCCAAATCCTGAAGTTGGCGACTGAGAGAAGAAAGGCTCTTTATCTCCTACAAAGTGACTTACACAAAATCTTCTCAAAGTTTGTGGGTCTTCTCCACTGGACTCAAAGTGCCAAAACCTTCGCTATGTGTTTGGGCCTTGGGAACTCTGGTGGAGCTTTTTCTCTGGCATGCAGTGGGTATGAATAAACTCTGCCTCTGCTATGCTCCACAGCTGTGCTTGTTCTGCTCTGTCCTTTTTTGCGTGCTGAGAGAGAGAGCCAGATTTGTCAATCATGATGTACAAATGTGGGGGTCAATTTTGGAAAAAACTGCCCCTGTGAAGTGAATTGCAGCTGGAAATAAGCATTTGGCTCTCAGTGCTCATTGTCTCAATTGTATTTGACAATGGCAATTACACAAACTATCAAATGCAAAGAAAATAAACAAACAATTAGTCCTTCTGGGGTAGAGCTTTTATCTACAGTATTGCTTTTGCTTTTATTTTATTAAACTTGACAGATAATAAAGTAGGAATGCATTGTTCAAAATACAGCTATAATAAGTCTTTACATTTTAGTAGACAGATCTAAGATGTATTGCTTCTGAGATGAACTATGGTTACAGCTGGTGCTTGACCCTGCATAAACACTAAACACTATCTGTGTTCAAATAGAGCACTGCAGGGCAAGTAAAGGTCAAAGCACTGGAAAAAAATTTAAAACACAATTATGGCAGTTTAAAAGGAAAAATATTTGGAGTTGTTGATAAAATAGGGACCACGCACTATTTTTTAAATTCCTTCATCTGATTATGTAACAAGGGATTCCAAAAGGAGGCAAGCACACTTGAAATAGAAATGTGGAGGAAGGTAGTAAAATTTTTTCCCCTTATTTCCTTTTTTCATTATACTCATCTAATATATTATGGGTATAGATTGGTCATTTGTTCAGTGAAGTGTGGCATTGGGAGCCAGTGCACAATTGTTGCATCACTAAAAGGCCAAAATGACCAATCAGAACATGAGTTTGGACACTGAGACCCTGTCTTTCATTGGCTGATAGAGTTTTAAGACCAGCAGGGGCTATCAGATCATGTAATCTGACTGCCTGTATAGCATAGGCCATAGAATTTCACCTAGTTACCCTTGTATTGAGCCCAATAATTTATTTGACTAAAGTATATCTTCCAAAACGACAGACCTGTCTTGATCTGAAGCGTTCAAGAGGTGGAGAATCCACCATTTCCTTTAGTAGCTTGTTCCAATGATTAATCACCCTCTCTGTTAAAAAATCTGTACCATATTTCTAATTTGAATCAACATGTTTGTAACTGTGTTTTCGCTTAGGCTCCCGTGTCACGGAGTCACCGGGCGATGCTCTGGAACTATTCTCTACGAAGCCAGTCAGGAACTCTGGGGGAGCCTCCTCTTTGTGAGCAGACTGTCTCCAGGGCAAGAAGCTTACATAGCTTTGACCTTCCTGGGGCTGACCTCGGAGCATTCAGTATCCACTTTCACATCGTGCGCTTCCCACAGGGAGTCCGCACAGGCAGGGCTCCTGGGGAAGCCAGTGGGCCCTGCACCCAAGTTCTGCAGTCAGACGTGACTTTCAGCCAGCCAGTAAAACAGAAGGTTTAGTAGATGACAGGAACATGGTCTAAAACAGAGCTTGTAGGTATAGAGAACAGGACGCCACAGTCAGGTCTGTCTTGGGGGGCAGGGAGGCCAGCGCCCCATCTGGCCTCCCTCCATTTCCCCAGCCAGCTCCCAACTGAAACTCTCCAGCCCCTCCTCTCCTTTATCTCTTTCCTGGGCCAGGAGGCCACCTGATCTCTTTGTTCTCCAACCCCTTCAGTTGGCACCTTTGCAGAGGAGGGGCCCAGGCCATCAGTTGCCAGGAGACAGGGTGTCGGCCATTCTTTGTGCATCATGCTGGCCCCCCAGGGCTCTGCCACAATCACACATCCTTATCCCACCACCTAGATGACTTAAGAATTACATAGGGGAAAATGAGGCACCCACACAGTATTCAGAGAAAACATGAAGAACATTCCCACTTCATCACATTCCCCCTCACTTTAAAGGTGTTAGATTAACATGCTTGTAAAGCCCTGCCAAGATGCAGGCTAACGCAACTGAACTAATATCATGGAAAAAAACACACATTTTTTGTCCCTCAAGACAGGCCTTCTATGTCCAGTTACACTATAATGGTCATTGTGATGTGTATGGAGCTGCTGTGTGATAACTTATGAATGCTGCATGTTGACCTGGTAACTGGGATGTTTGCACTATGAATATATTGGTACAGTTTAATAGTGGGCTGAAAGGAAAAACAAGCAGGAAGGGGAGAATAGGCCAAGATAAACCAACCCTTAGCATACACTTCAAGGTTCTGACTTGACCTCCTGCTCACATCCCTGGACTGGTTTGGTTCAAAAGGGCACAAGCGCAGGAGCTGACAAGAACAAATGGACTCTGACTAGGTTAAGAATGGTTTGTTTTCTCTCTCTTTAAAGAAGAGAGAGTTATTGAGGAGATGTTCAGGCAGGAACCAGGCTGTGACAAATGCACCTGCTGGGGCGTCTGAAGAAGCTAGGCCTGCACTGGTTATCACAAGGGGATGGTAAGCCTTAGGTAAGATAGATGTGTGTAGGTTACTTGTTTTAAAATCTGTTTTTCTCTTATGCTTTGATTCTACTGTGAGAATAAACAATGCTTTGGTTTTAAGAAGGCTGTCTGATCACTATATACACCCCTGCTCAGCCTCTGGAAGGGAAGAACTGCAGCTACTGACCCCAGTTGGATTTCCTGGGTAAGCACAATTAATAGAGAGGGTACTGTAAACCAGGGTCTGCTCTGAGAGTGGGAGAATTGTGGAATTCCACCCCAGGATAGGGAGAGGTGTGAGGCCTGATGTCTGAGGGGGTGCACTCACACCAGGAAAGGTATGGATAGCTCTGTAACAGTCACACTTAAGTGAGCTGTAGCTCACGAAAGCTTATGCTCAAATAAATTTGTTAGTCTCTAAGGTGCCACAAATACTTCTTTTCTTTTTACTTACTATTTGATTGAGAGAATCATCTTGACTGGAGAAAGCTGCTAGTGGGTTATTTAATCCACTCTCACAGGGTTATTAATTACAGACAAATGTCAAGTCTATCCTTAAATATCTCCCATGAAGTTGAATTCTAATGATCACTTGTTCCAATTCTTAATTTTTCTTATTAGGAACAACATTAGAATATATTCAGCCTAAGAATTCCTTTCTGCAACCTAAGTCCCTGACTCATGTCATCAATGACTAGTAAGAATAATAGATTGCTTTATGACAATCTCTTAATTATTTGTAAGACAGTAATTGGGCTCTTGGTTACACCAGTGTACATTCACAAAATTCAGTGGAGTTAGTCCAGATTTACCATGGCAAAGGTGACAGCAGAATTTGGCCAGTCATCTCTCTTCACAATACCTTTCTCTAGAGTGAACATGCCTACTTATCTTAACCCTTCCTTGGTATTATATTCCCGCTTGGTATTATACCCTTTGGTATTAATTTCCAAGCCTTTTCTCATTTGTACTTGCATTATTATTTGTTTGGTTATCCATATGTGTGTAGCATAGGCAAATATTCTAGGTGTTGTCCACACACATATGAAGACACAGGGCCTGATTCTTGACGCCTTTTAATCAGTTTTAAGATTATGTAAATCTATGGACTTCAATGGATTTACATCAGTGAAAAACTTTGTATAACAGATTGGAGAATCAGGCCTAGTCTCTGAGCTCTCCATTTTGTCTGTGTCTGAACATAGTTGCGGCCTATTGAGTCCAATGCTGAGTAGAGTGGAATAGTTACCTGGTTTATCTTAAATGTGATATTTCTATCCTAATACAACTTGATATCATCTTCATTTTTTGTGATGACATTGACTCATATTCTACTTAACATCCAATTTATAATAGCGCTATCTAAACCATATTTCTCTATTTTTCCTTATCAGAATGTCACGTGGAACCTATCAAATACCTTAGTTAAGGCAGATGTACTAGATCAAGTGTAATTTCCTTTATGTACTAAAAAGTACAATTAGTTTAGCATAATTTGTTTCTTTTGAGCATATGTTGCCTTCACCTTATTTTTCACTAGGAGCATATATACTGATTGTGGGTGGGAGTTTCAAAAGTAACTTTGGAAAACAAGTCCCATTGAAAGACACAAGGATTTGTGCTCACAGCTTATTCAGGCATTTTTGAAAATCTCACTTTATTAGTTGTTGTAGCAAATCTGATTATATGTTAAAGTCACATTTATGGGTGTGTCACTTCCTTAGCCTTGGTCTACACTAGGAGTTGAGGTTGAATTTAGCAGGGTTAAATTGATTTAACCCTGCACCTGTCCACACGATGAAGCCCTTTTTTTCTACTTAAAGGGCTCTTAAAATCGATTTCCTTACTCCACCCCCAACAAGGGGATTAGTGCTGAAATTGGCCTTGCCGGGTCGAATTTGGGGTACAGTGGATGCAATTAGATGGTATTGGACTCCGGGAGCTATCTCAGAGTGCTCCATTGTGACCGCTCTGGACAGCACTCTCAACTCAGATACACTGGCCAGGTAGACAGGAAAAAGCCCGCAAACTTTTGAATTTCAATTTCCTGTTTGGCCAGCATGGCAAGCTGCAGGTGAGTGCAGAGCTCATCAGCAGAGGTGACCATGCAGAGCTCATCAGCAGAGGTGACCATGATGGAGTCCCAGAATCGCAAAAGAGCTCCAGCATGGACCGAACGGGAGGTACGGGATCTGATTGCTGTATGGGGAGAGGAATCCGTGCTATCAGAACTCCGTTCCAGTTTTCGAAATGCCAAAACCTTTGTCAAAATCTCCCAGGGCATGAAGGACAGAGGCCATAACAGGGACCCAAAGCAGTGCCGCATGAAACTTAAGGAGCTGAGGCAAGCCTACCAGAAAACCGGAGAGGCAAACAGCCGCTCCAGGTCAGAGCCCCAAACATGCCACTTCTATGATGAGCTGCATGCCATTTTAGGGGGTTCAGCCATCACTACCCCAGCCATGTTGTTTGACTCCTTCAATGGAAATGGAGGCAACACGGAAGCAGGTTTTGGGGACGAGGAAGATGATGATGATGTTGTAGATAGCTTACAGCAAGCAAGCAGAGAAACTGGTTTTCCTGACAGCCAGGAACTGTTTCTCATCCTGGACCTGGAGCCAGTACCCCGCGAACTCACCCAAGGCTGCCTCCCGGACCCGCCGGGCAGAGAAGGGACCTCTGGTGAGTGTACCTTTTAAAATAGTATACATGGTTTAAAAGCAATCATGTTTAATAATTAATTTGCCCTGGCATTCCGGACTCTCCTGGATTTACTCCCAAAGCCTTTGCAAAAGGTTTTTGGGGAGGGAAGCCTTATTCCATCCACCATGGTAGGACACTTTACCACTCCAGGCCGGTAGCACGTACTCGGGAATCATTGTAGAACAAAGTATTGCAGTGTATGTTTGCTGGCATTCAAACAACATCCGTTCTTTATCTCTCTGTGTTATCCTCAGGAGAGTGAGATATTATTCGTGGTCACCTGGTTGAAATAGGGTGCTTTTCTGAAGGGGACATTCAGAGGTGCCCATTCCTGCAGGTCTGTTTGCCTGTGGCTGAACAGAAATGTTCCCCCTGTTAACCATGGGGGGGGGAGGGGCTAGCTACGTGGTGGGGGGAGGCAAAATGCGACCTTGGAACGAAAGCACATGTGTTATGTATGTAATGTTAACAGCAAGGTTTACCATGAAAGAGTGTACCCATTGGTCTATAAAATGTGTCTTCTTAAATACCACTGTCCTTTTTTTTTCTCCACCAGCTGCATGTGTTTCAAGGATCACAGGATCTTCTCCTTCCCAGAGGCTAGTGAAGATTAGAAGGCGAAAAAAACGCACTCGCGATGAAATGTTCTCTGAGCTCATGCTGTCCTCCCACACTGACAGAGCACAGATGAATGCGTGGAGGCAGACAATGTCAAAGTGCAGGAAAGCACAAAATGACCGGGGGGGGGGGGGGCTGAAGAGAGTAAGTGGCAGGCTGAAGACAGGGCTGAAGCTCAAAGGTGGCGGCAGCGTGATGAGAGGAGGCAGGATTCAATGCTGAGGCTGCTGGAGGATCAAACTAATATGCTCCAGCATATGGTTGAGTTGCAGAAAAGGCAGCGCCCCCGCTACAGCCCCTGTGTAACCAACTGCCCTCCTCCCCAAGTTCCATAGCCTCCTCACCCAGATGCCCAAGGACACGGTGGGGGGCCTCCGGCCACCCAGCCACTCCACCCCAGAGGGTTGCGCAAGCAACAGAAGGCTGGCATTCAATAAGTTTCAAAGTTTTAAACTTTTAAAGTGCTGTGTGGCCTTGTCCTTCCTCCTCCACCACCGCTCCCGGTGCTTCTCTCCTCCACCACCCCTCCTGGGCTACCTTGGCAGTTATCCCCCTATTTGTGTGATGAATTAATAAAGAATGCATGAATGTGAAGCAACAATGACTTTATTGCCTCTGCAAGCAGTGATCGAAGGGAGGAGGGGAGGGTGATTAGCTTATAGGGAAGTAGAGTGAACCAAGGGGCGGGGGGTTTCATCAAGGAGAAACAAATAGAACTTTCACACCGTAGCCAGCCAGTCATGAAACTGGTTTTCAAAGCTTCTCTGTTGCGCACCGCACCCTCCTGTGTTCTTCTAACCGGCCTGGTGTCTGGCTGCGCGTAACCAGTGGCCAGGCGATTTGCCTCAACCTCCCACCCCACCATAAATGTCTCCCCCTTACTCTCACAGATATTGTGGAGTGCACAGCAAGCAGTAATAACAGTTGGAATATTGGTGTCGCTGAGGTCTAACTGAGTCAGTAAACTGCACCAGCGTGCTTTTAAACGTCCAAATGCACATTCTACCACCATTCTGCACTTGCTCAGCCTGTAGTTGAACAGCTCCTGACTATTGTCCAGGCTGCCTATGTATGGCTTCATGAGCCATGGCATTAAGGGGTAGGCTGGGTCCCCAAGGATAACTATAAGCATTTCAACATCGCCAACGGTTATTGTCTGGTCTGGGAATAAAGCCCCTTCCTGCAGCTTTTGAAACAGACCAGAGTTCCTGAAGATGCGAGTGTCACGTACCTTTCCCAGCCATCCCACGTTGATGTTGGTGAAACGTTCCTTGTGATTCACCAGTGCTTGCAGCACTATTGAAAAGTACCCCTTGCGGTTTATGTTCTCGCTGGCTTGGTGCTCCGGTGCCAAGATAGGGATATGGATTCCGTCTATGGCCCCACCACAGTTAGGGAATCCCATTGCAGCAAAGCCATCCACTATGACCTGCACATTTCCCAGGGTCAGTACCCTTGATATCAGCAGATCTTTGATTGTGTTGGTTACTTGCATCACAGCAGCCCCCACAGTAGATTTGCCCACTCCAAGTTGATTCCCAACTGACTGGTAGCTGTCTGGCGTTGCAAGCTTCCACAGGGCTATTGCCACTTGCTTTTCAACTGTGAGGGCTGCTCTCATCTTGGTATTCATGCACTTCAGGGCAGGGGAAAGCAAGTCATAAAGTTCCATGAAAGTGCCCTTATGCATGCGAAAGTTTCGCAGCCACTGGGAATCATAGAACACTATGCGGTCCCACGAGTTTGTGTTTGTTTCCTGGGCCCAGAATCGGTGTTCCATCACATGAACCTGCCCCATTAGCACCATGGTGCCTGCATTGCCAGGGCCCGTGCTTTGAGAGAAGTCTGTGTCCATGTCCTCATCACTCTCGTCACCGCGCTGACGTTGCCTACTCGCCTGGTTTCGCTTTGTCAGGTTCTGGTGCTGCATATACTGCTGGATAATGCGCGTGGTGTTTAATGTGCTCCTAATTGCCAAAGTGATCTGAGCGGGCTCCATGCTTGCCGTGGTGTGGCGTCTGCACAGAAAAAAGGCGCGGAACGATTGTCTGCCGTTGCTCTGATGGAGGGAGGGGTGACTGACGACATGGCTTACAGGGTTGGCTTACAGGGAATTAAAATCAACACAGGGGGTGGCTTTACATCAAGGAGAAACAAAACAACTGTCATACAGAATGGCCCCCTCAAGGATTGAACTCAAAACCCTGGGTTTAGCAGGCCAATGCTCAACCTACTAAGCTATCCCTCCCTCTGGTATTTCAGACACGACTGAATCTCCATTAAAGTTTTCACCAAAACGATTGTCGACCGTTGATTTCACGGAGGGAGGAGGGAGCAAATGAATACAAAACAAATCTGGTCAATTTCTTGTTTTGATCCACTCCATCTATCTTTTTACATCTTTGGCTGGCAGCAGACGGTGCAGTAGGACTGCTAGCCATCCACATCTCCTGGCTGCTCAGCAGAAGATGGTGCAATCGGACTGCTAGCCATACTCATCTCCTGCCTGCTCACCATAAGATGGTACAATAGGACTGCCTGCAGGACTAAAGAGAATGACCCGGTTGAGTCACTCCTAATTTAGTCCCTGCGCCCATGTCTTCCCAGGTGCTCCTGACCAACCTTACCGAGGCGGCCAGGAGCACCTTGGACACGATGTGAATGGTTTTCAGGCCTATTGCACCATCTGCTGCCACAAGGCAATGGGTTGCTGCTGCTGTGTAGCAATGCAGTACCGTATCTTCCAGCACCCAGGAGACATATGGTGACAGTGAGCTGCGCGGGCTCCATGTTGCTGTGGTATGGCGTCTGCACAGGTAACTCAGGAAAAAAGGTGCAAAACGATTGTCTGCCGTTGCTTTCACAGAGGGAGGGAGGGAGGGCCTGATGACATGTACCCAGAACCACCCGCGACAATGTTTTTTGCCCCATCAGGCATTGGGATCTCAACCCAGAATTCCAATGGGCAGCAGAGACTGTGGGAACTGTGGGATAGCTACCCACAGTGCAACACTCCGGAAGTCGACGCTAGCTTCGGTACTGTGGAAGCACTCTGCCGAGTTAATGCACTTAATGCACTTAGAGCATTTTCTGTGGGGACGCACACAATCGACGATATAAAAACGATTTCTAAAAAAACGACTTCTATAAATTCGACCTAATTTTGTAGTGTAGACATACCCTTAGTCTGCTTTTTACTTTTCCTTAAGCATAGGGTCTGTACTTTGTTTGATCTTTTCTGCTGATCTGTGACCTTTCCTTAGTAGATCTTATTTAAAAAGAAAAAGAAAAAGAGAAAAAAAAGATGCTATAATTTTAGTTCCTTAGCATTCTAGGATGAATTCTTTCAGGACCTGTTGACTTAAATACTTTCAAGGTGTCTGAAAAAAATCAACAAGCAGTAAAGGGCCAAATGCAGCCCACAATATAATCTATGGCTGATTACCTCCATCTCTTCAACTGCAGATGAGGATACATATGATTTAACTGCAGATTTTTATGCTGGTGAATTCAAACAATAAATTTCAGTTCATTTATCAAGGAAGAGCCAAGTACAAATACATAAATTGAGTCTGCATTTTCATTTAAATATATAAATTCATATGCAGATTAGACCTCAGGCTATTTGGAAAAAATCATCTTGCCCTTAATGTTGTAAATTCCATTTCTGTATCTTTCAAAATGGGAAAAATACTGCCTCTCTGTCTCAGAAGTCTTAATTAATTAAGATTTGTAGAGTGCTTTGAGATCCTCATATGATATGACCGGTGCTATAGAAGAGCACAGTCATATCTTTGCACTGTGTATAATCTTTGTCAGATAATAATTTGGGTTATGCTGTTTGAATCTGAGTTATTCTTGCTAAAATAAAGTTTGTTTAGTTTAGCACAACACATCATTCCAGAGCAGAGAGAAGGAACATATGATGTTCGAAAGAGAGTCAGATTATTCGATACTTATCAACAGCTACATTTTCTTGGAGAATGAGAGAGAGAGGGAGAGAGAGATGATAAATGAAAATTCTGGATTGCCTTCCAGAAAGGGGTCAGCTCCTCCCATAGGGCCAAGTTCAGAAGGAATAACTGGTCAGCCAGCAGAAACAGCTGTGGTTAGCTTAACATGGTAAGGATTAAACAGAGTAATTGGAAGATGACTGTTATACAGGTAAACAATTTCAAACCAGAGTTCTAATCAAACTCATTTCAACTGAAGACAGGCAAACTTTCTAATTCCATAAAGTATAAGAAAAACAATGATAACAGAAAAAAGAAACAGGGTTTTTCTTGGTGACTTTCTAGTTCATCCTTGCTTTGAGGCTAAGCTATAAAATGTGTAAAAGTAACTGACTTAGTGGACAGAGCACTGGACCCGGGGTCTATGTTCAGCTCTAGTGACTGACTTTCGGCAGTCTCTTTGTACTCTTTTATCTCTTCGTACTTCTGTGTCTCCGCCCTCCCTTTGTATTTTCTACTTAGCTTACAAACTATATAAAGTAGGGGCACTCTAGAAATGTGCTTATGTAATACCTAACACAGTGGGGCCCGAGCCTCTGTGAGGATATCTAGGCATTGCTGTAACCCAAATAATAATAAAATGAAACTTTTTTTATTTTAATTTATTTCAGACAATGAAATTGTTGCTTTTCAATGTTACTTGGATAAAGAACACATTGGAATAATACTGCATGCACTACAGTGGTGACTTTCCCTCATTTCCTTATATTACTAAAGATCAGACTGGCCAGTGGCTAAAAGCTGCAATCTTGGAGTTCATGTGGAGCCATGATACCTCAGGGAGAATTTGTGAGGGAGTAGTTCAGGGTGTAGGGCAACTATGCACATTGTCCTAATAGGGCTGTGCCGAAATTCCACTATTCTGTGACATTAATATTTTCCTTTGAAATTTTATTGGGAAGAGCATAGGTGCAAGATGGTCTTTCCACCAGGATTCCAGAAACCCAACTCTAAGTAGAAATAACTCTGGGCATGACTATTTGAGTGACTGTCCTATAATTTAACACCAACGCCTCACATGTGTTGGGAAGTCTGCTAGGAAGCAAGGACTGCAATTGGGAGCAGGCAGACTTCAAGCCTTTTGGGAAGGTCTAGTGGGAAGGAAGACAGCAGATGGGAGCAGAAGAGCGTGTGTGGGACCTACTGTGGAACGCTGCCCAGAAGTTTCACAGTGTAAAGAACACTTCCGTGGAGAAAAGGTGACTTAAGACAGAGGCTAGCAAAGCTTGTGGGACAAAATGGCTGACTCATACACATTGCCTTGCTGCTCAGAAGTCATGATCCTGGAGAGGTCAATCATTCAAAATCACTCACTTTGTGGAAGGACCAGTGTCTATTTAGCAGGAGTTCATATACTCAATCCACTTTAGTTCTCCACATGCTCTGCCTTGTCTTTCACTTGAAACATGTTCATAACGTAGAAAATGATTATTGTAATTCTAAATTTATAATAGGGCAATGGGGGTGGGGAGGGAAAACCCTTATCCTTTTTATTCTCCATTTTGTGTTGTATTTCTTGGCAGCCATGAAAGTTCAGTGTTCTGGTTTTTAATGTAGAAACA